TGGAAAATTTAAGGGGTAGTTATATAATAATTTTGGACGATCTCGGGCGGTCGGATACTTATGACCGCTACTGTAAATATCTGATTTGTCGTCGAATTCTTCTTTGACGAATCATTTTTCAATTTTGTTATTTTTTTTTATTATTATTATTTATGAGAAAAAAAATTTTTTTTTTCCAGGCACAAGCAATAAAACGAGTGTCTTTTATACGTAAACGACTTATGAATCGGCAATGGACGCGGCAAATTTACTCGCTAGAAGTGGATATATAAAGTTTAAATTCGCTTATTCATAATGCATCAATATTTACTATACATCACAAGCAAAGAAATTACACTATACCATTTTTAATGTGTGTAACTAATTAGATTTTAACTAATGAAATTATAACTGCTTGTTAATATGTAGGTGACCATTTTATTTCCAAAGTCGGTTAGCTAATTTTCGACCAAAATCTCGTTAATTGTGAAAATTTTGAACAAATAAATCGCAAAATAGTTGAGTATTATTAGGTTACTAGACATGTTCAAAATGAATATAATGAATATGAAAAAAAATTAGAGAATGTAAAGAGGGAGGATGAAAAAGTAGATCAGATCAATTTTCAGTAAGAAAGAATTAAAAGAAACGTAGAGGAAGAATTGGAATATAGATAAGAAAAATTCATAGAGAGGAGAAGAATGAGGAACTGAAAAAAAGAAAAGTAATGAATATTTAGATCGCGAAGGTTTATATTCGACTATTTGAGTGGTGTGAATAAATTATCTATTATCTGATAATCTTATTTTAGATTAGATTTTCTTTTTATATTTTTATTATTTAAAAACACTAAGTCATTGAACCTAAAAATAAATATTTATATGAAAATTGTGTCTAAAAAAAAATAATAGTCATTTAGGTTAGATAATTGTTTATCGTCAATCTTACTATATTGGAATTCAATGGAGTATAAAGTTGTCATATAGTTTTGCTAAATAGACTTTTGGAAATTTAAAAATCGTAATATCAATAATGAAATTTTATCTTTTTTTTTAAAAAAATCTTTTTTAAATCATCAATCTTAGGGAGTTTTTTTTTCACTTTTTTTAAGATAATAAAATATACAATTGATAAATCAGGTTGATACTAATTTAGATCATTATAATTTTTTATATAGCATGAGATTCAGCGAATTAGCGGTCACATTAACGCCGAGATAAAAAAGTATTCAAATTATTTGTTGTTTACGTTATAAATAAATACGCCCATCAAGAAAAAATTTGTACACTGAAACATGTAAAATACGTACAACGTGATAAGACTCTTTTTAGTTCAAGTGAAAGACTTCATCAAAGATTAAAGATTTTAATCTCCTTGATGGAGGACTTTGATCCTAATATTATTAATCTTGATATCTTTTTCATGCGAGATTGCGTGTGCTTTCTACAAATTCCGAAATTCCGATTATTTGATCAAAAATATTCTATTTAATCAGATTAGATTTTTATTTAGATTTTATTTAGATTTATTTATTTTGTTTAACTATGTAACGTCAAACATCGTGGGAACATCAAAAAAATTTTTTATTTTATATAACAAAATTCGATCTCTACATCAAATTATGGTGATTTCACCATTTTAAAAAGTTGATTTAAAATCAAAATAAGTATAGATTCAGATTGCTGCCGTAACGGAATCTCCGCGTTGAAAAATTGATCTATTCCAGCATTTGATAAGAAAAAAATTCCGAAGTCATTTGATGGAACGAGTACAAACAAACAAAAGAATTAATTATTCCTAAAATAAATTTCCTTTTAAGAAAGATTTTAAAACATTACATAAAATCATGGGAACATTAGTTTTTTCTTTGCTTTATATCACTAACAACGAACTTTCAACGCTATTTCAATACGTTAGTGTTAAATACAATCAAGGTTACTAAAGATAACGGAATGCTTATCTCCGCGTTAATATTTCTATTCCATCTAATTGACATATCAAAGATTACATTAGAAATCATCGGAGTTGTTACTTCCGATAAATTGATAAATTGTGAAACAAGAGCAAAAAAAGGAATTGATTATAAATAAGTGGATTTCCGTTTGAATTCAAAATGTTACATTAATTCATTTGTGTGTGTGATTTTTTTTTTGCTTTGTGATACGTAAATATTAGTGTTTCTCGACATGATCTGTGCGCTTACGCAAATGACGTTTCCGAATAAAGTTTAATTAGCGCGAGCACAAATGATTAAATATTTTGAAAGATATATTTATTTATTCTTTATTCTTCAATCTTTTTTTGATTGCCCGTTATGAAATTTTATTTAATAAAAATCTCAAATTTGAGATTGATCATTTGCTGCGCCACAGTATAATTTTACACATTTTTTATACTTCATCTACTTTCATAATCTATCTTTTATTCATGATTTTAGACAAAGTTTAGATTAGAAATTTTTATAAATAAACCTGTTTTGATAATAATCATGTTTCTGATGGGATTATTTTAGAATTAGGATTTTATTGATTGAAGTTTTTAAGTGTTCCTCACATAGATTGACAACTATAAATGCGAATTGTTAACGTTAGTAAAAACCACATTACCCTAGGTTATTTTGATTAAAAGATACTTCGGTTCAAGTTAGGAATGAGGACTGTTCTATCGGTCCCATTTCGGTTCTACTTCGACTCTTCTTAAGTAAATTAAAACTTGGAGCGTTAAATTTAAACTAATAGAGCATCATGTGATGATCAAATTTAAAAAATTTTTTGACTGGTTGTCAATCAAATTCGACCTATTATTATCTTTAATTTGAAGACAATCCGATTTTGAGCCGACTCTTGGAACCGGTCCGGAATCGGTTCCGGTTCGATTTTTTTAAAATTGGTTAAAAATGGTTGTAACTCACAATATGCTGAATTTTTAATCGGTTCCAGAACCGACTTGGCATACCTAGTCCAAGGTCGTAAATATTCATTTTAAATTTAAAAGAAAACATAGACAAAAAAAGATATACTAACAATTAGTTGTAAAAGATGACAAATGTATATCACCAAGTTTTTGAATAATTAATTTAACACTTTAACGATCGTCGTCATGCATTTTTTACGTCAGCGTCAGATTGTCAGTCTCCTCCCGATATTTTCTAAATTCAAATGCTTTGTGACCAAACTAGAGAGAAACCTAAAACTTTTTATACGTGATATTCTCCTGATCTATTATGAATAAAGTGCACTGTCTACCGTAAACCATTAGCGGTGTCGAAATTCTGAGGATCGAAATTAAAAAAAACATAATGCGAAATGATCTACTTGTCTCAGAAATCGATCTTATTTGACGAAAATTTAATGAGAAAATGCATAGAGATTTTCTTTTTTTTATTTAACATTAATAATTTGCATTTTTTTTTTGTTATCCTTTACTATACTTTTCAATTCACTAATCAGCTTTCGATCTTTGATGTTCCAAGTCTTATGTACCGAAGTTTAGTTTAAAAAATCGGAGATTAACCATACATTGATTTACATGCCACTAGTCGGTCATAAATTCGACGTTATCGCATAATATATGTCTGTGCCCGGTGTCTGTTTGTCCGCCCGCTCAAAATTTGAGTCGATACGTGGTTGGTCCCTTTCGTTATACTTGTACTACGGACTTAACAATGGTTTTCGAAACCGTTCCCTAGTATATATATAAGAATAAGGACAAAGGTTGCGTTTTGAAATATTTTATTACGTAATCTGCTTTGTGCTACTTGCCACAGAAATTATTTATGATGTGATCGGATGTGCTGTATAGTTATTCCGAATAACTGTCATGTCGCGTACTATAGAGGCGTATAAATCAATTCGAATTGGTTGATTTCCAAAAACACAGATATTCGGCAAGAGGTTTAACATATTTGGTTGAATTGAAATATCATTACTTGACAAATTGGGCCTTATCATAAATAGATAACCTTACAGACCGTTTCAAAGAGAACAATAGTTAGATTAATTTGATTGTTTATTATAGCCCTGGTTTATTTTGTAAAATGGCGAGTAAAGATTTTCATGAAAGAAAAAAGGAAGTTAATTGTCTCATGAAAGAGAAATAGAAATGCATTTCCTATGAAAGAGAAAAGGAACTATTTTATTTGTGAAGGGAAATCATCACAAAAAATGAGATAATTCGAATTTGATAATAAGATATATTTGGTTAAATTATAATCGTTTTAGGTCTTATCTATGACAATTTGACTAAACCAATTTGATTCTATTTTTTTTTCTTTTGCCGCTATCACTATTGGAAAGAAAGATAATCTTTTTTTTTTATTTATTTATTTTAACAGTAAACAAATTTGGTTACATAAGAATGAAAAAAAAAACTGAAAGAATATTTCGATGATCGGTTCTAATAATTCAGACATGATCATTGGAAAAAAATGATGTAAACATAACTTCAATTATAAATATTACCGACCATTTTTTTTTGTGAATTATTTTTCCCAGGAAAAGTTTATTTAATTTTCCGAACTAAGAGAGTTCTGTTTAGGATAAGTTATAGGCTAATGTCCCTAACGACAGTCACCCCAATTCGTTCTTTTCATGATAATTTCTCAAATAAATCATGACAATCAAAAAATCGGAATCGGAAACTTTCCTTGGAAAGTGTTGCAAATTCATAATAAAGTTCATATTTCAAATTCAAATTTATTTTAATAATTTTTTTCAACTTATTTTTAACGATAATAATTAATACCCATATATACAAGAAGAAATCTTAGAAATATTTACTTACATAATAAGGTGTATAATACCTATTCTATGAAACATAAATTACATAAATTAAATACTTATATGGCCATAATGAAACTTAATCATAACTATTTTAATGCGTGAGATTATTTCTGTAAAGACGATATTAACAAGTCGATATTATTATATTAAAACCTAAAGAACTGTAAATTCACTAGTATAATGACAGTAACCTAACCAAAAAAAAAAAATTTCAAAATTTGAATCCATTATAGAATTCGTCAAGTGAATCGTTCCCCGTTGATTGTTGTTGAAGTCGCGCAATAATATTTATCATATATTGATTATTATTATTTGGTGTGCGACACGGGATTGGATTATTGCCGGACTGCGTGTTTTGAACATTGCCAGGTAGCGGGGTTGATTGCGCGTTTGGATTACCAGATAGCGTGGTTGATTGCGCGTTTGGATTACCAGATTGCGGGGTAGGTTGCGCGTTTAGATTACCAGTTAGCGGGATTGGTTGCGCGTTTGGAATACCAGATAGCGTGGTTGGTTGCGCGTTTGGATTACCAGATTGCGGGATTGGTTGCGCGTTTGGAATACCAGATAGCGTGGTTGGTTGCGCGTTTGGATTACCAGATTGCGGGGTAGGTTGCGCGTTTAGATTACAAGTTAGCATGATTGGTTGCATGTATGGATTACCAGATTGCGGGGTAGGTTGCGCGTATGGATTACCAGTTAGCGGGATTGGTTGCGCGTTTGGAATACCAGATAGCGTGGTTGATTGCGCGTTTGGATTACCAGATTGCGGGGTAGGTTGCGCGTTCAGATTACCAGTTAGCATGATTGGTTGCGTGTATGGATTACCAGATTGCGGGGTAGGTTGCGTGTTTTGATTACCAGGTAGCGGGAATGTGTTGGGATTAAGTGGCGTGTTCGAGTTCGCTTTATTGAAGTGTGAATTGTCGGATAAAGTGTCTGGATTATTAACAAGTGAATTTAGGTCGTTAACACTTAACATGGTTGAACTATTTGGACGATATCTTCTTAGTCTCCTTCTATTAGACATTTTTGTAGTTACTTTTCTTCCTTTAACCATTTTCGTTTACAAGAAGATATTTCGAAAATCAAAATGTTGAGTCAAATCTTCAACTATTTATATAGCATTGATAACAAGGGATACTATATACGGATAGATTGAAATTTTCTTGGTAAATACAGTACCTTGTGATAAAAGTAATCAAAGAAATCAGTCAAATGACCCTGCACATAATCATTCGATCATCGGTTATCGCTCTGTTCAACAGTTAATATATTTATATTCTAAAGTAATGTTGGCTATTCGTTCAAACTTTGCAGTCCATTAACCAATGACTGAAAATTGCTTAATCATAATCAATTAAACTAAGTAATATATACAGTATTTATGATGGGTGTCAAAGCTCTTTAATACAATCACATACTAGAATTATGTAATGTTCGTACCAGAATTCCGGTACTCTGGTCCCGATTATACATGATAATTATTTGCAACTATAAAAGTCGTTTCCACGGAGAAATAACTGTATCAAAATCAAATCTTTTAACCATATTTGGTATATCTAGATGAAACGAAAGTTAAATGATACAATGGCTTTTTTATTTTTTATTTAATATTTTTTTTTTTTTTTTTTTTCTTGAAAGAAAATTACTTACTTATTATTTGTCAAGTTACTATTTGAAAAAGAAATGTGTGTTCTAATGAGCAGCATAATACATTTTAAAGCGGTCTTCGATTTTATACCTGCTAACATATTGTTCAAACCCAAAGAAGTTATCGCTTTTTCGTAAGTTATTGGATATATTTACAATTTCATCAAAAATTATAATTTGGGTGATTATTTCGGATACTTATATATAATATAATTATAATATAACTATATAAAAAGTCTTGTTGTTGAGTGGATCATTAGGAACGGCTCTGGGTCAATAAAAATTTTCTTAGGAAATCTGCATGCATGTCATTCATTATTACTACTTAAAAAGGATATGTATATAAAGTAGCATTCATTACGCTACTTAACATGGATCATTTACGCGTCTATAACAGACAGCCTAGATCCTTTTTATTTTACATTTTATGTATATAATTTTAACCCATTGTCTTAAAATCAAATGAAAATTTTTATGGTTAAGCACTGATTTTGATCGATAAAGGACGGGATCTCAAGCGCGAATAAAAACTCTGGATACAATAAAAAATAATCTAACCCTTATTAATCTAGTTAGAAAAGATAGAGTAAACAGACTAAAAAATGGGAAAAAGGTAAGGAGATTTCTTTCGGATATTTTCGTATTCGTTGCATCACGTGATCATTATTTAGAACCATCCTTAAAATGTTCCCCCTATATAAATAATTTTTTTTTAAAATAAGCAAAATAAGTATCACGTGATAAAAATTACATTTGCGGAACGATCGGTAACAATTTTTTTTTTATAAAAAAAAAAAAAAAAAAAAATACAAAAATACAAATAAATTAAACCGATTTAATCTATTAATTCGGATTATAATAAAATCGACCTATTATTTTATACAAAAAGTAACGTAATAAAAAGTATACACGTGAAAATCAAACCATCATGTATGTGCTACCCACATTTTAAAATCTCCGTTTATTTTTTATTTTTTGTTTTTACAAACAATTCAAGCCTTTACTTTATCAAGAATATTATCGGAAGGTTTGTCCCTAAACAACTAATTATGGTTAGAATCGATCATTATATTTAATTGTCAACTTCTTCATCACAAGACATCGACAGAATTCTTAATTAGTAAATACATTGTTACAAAGATATTAATAAATCTGGAAATGTACAATTCGAAATTGGAAAGTCGAATGAAATTACGAAACATTAACTATTACGCAACCTGATACTTCGAAAAATGGAATAAAGTTCCTTCATTATCATATGTCAAATATGTCAAATATGTCAAGTAGACAATCTTTTTATATTATTGACAAGTAAATATTTTCTTATTTTAAAAATAACTTACAATACACATAATATTATAGTTAGAAAGAAGGAATCTGTACGAAACAAGAATAAACTTTTTTTATAGGACAAATATACACTTCAGACTGGAATAAATCCAGATTTTTCATTATCTCATTTTAATTTTACACGCAGCTTCCTCCTTTAATACCTACACATTAAGACTATATTTTGTTTAAACCTGTCAAGTAGAGAAATAATAACGTTTGCAATTTAATTGAAAGTTTCATGTTAATCAGATAGAATAAAGATATTTTAGTATTCGATACTTAATTTTTTTTGTATTTAACGTTAAAGTTAATTTTTTTACATTTTTTTTTTTTTTTTTTTTTTTTTTTAAAAAAAAATCATAATTAATAATGGAATTGGATTTAATTAAAGCTTCATTTTAGCACATTAAAATTTGCAAGAGGACGAAATTTACTGTAAAAATTAACAGCATTCGGCCAAATTAAAATTGTACATCATCGATAAAAATTTATTTTTCCTATATTATCCAAGCTTCGGTTCAAAGATGAATTTACCTTTTCGAATATGTTCAACTAATTGCATTATTTGAATTTTGGACGTAAAACTTGTAATTAATATAACAAAAATTTTAAATGATTGTCCATTCAATTAATTAAGTACGGAGATTTATATAATTTCCCCTTATAGCAGTATTACTGAAGCACGTGTAACCTGAAAGTTGAAGCAGTAAATGGTGTACGACTGAAGCACATAAATATTGTTTAGAGACTATTTTCATTTTGTTTCAAATTTTTTTTTTTTTTTTTTTTTTTGAGTATTTACACCTAAACAAAATCAGAGCTTCCTCCTAACTGATCATTAATGCTATCTTTCGCAAGATAATCAACCTATGTATAAGAAAAATTTTGTCGATGCGCACATAGTATATCTTTTTTGTTGTTGTTGTTCAATGCTAACGCCAGCGTTGGAGTTACAGTAACTTCTGGTAAACCATTTTAATTCTTGAAGTGCAAAATGGCTAAATGATCGACATTTATGATGTAACGCGACGCGCCAATCCATACTTTTGTTTACTAAACACAAACTGCGGGGATATTATAAATCACGTAAATTTAACAATTGTTTTAATATTTAAAATTCATAACAAATATATACAACTAGTGATATGATCCGTGAATAGCTATCCATACGAATAATGAATATATCCGAATATATGGATGGATCATCTTCAAACATCACAAAAATTTTATAATTATTCAGCAAATATCCAAAATATCCGAATGCTAATCCTTAAATCCGAAGGTTTATTATAAATATTTATGAGTTTTGATCATAAATTATTAGACTTGAAAAATTCTTGTTTGATCTAAAATAAAGGATGTGATCTGTAATATTTTTTGGTGGATTATCATTTGGATGCCCTTCAAAGATCACAAATATCGGATTAACTTTTTTAACTAATGAATATCTGTTTATGATCTTCGGAAAGAAAAAAAATGCACTTAATTTATTTAGAGTTTGTACAAATAAAAAATTTTATTTTTGTGATTAAATTTGACCAATAAAAATTGATGTTATATGAAGGAACCCCGGAAAAAAATATTTTATTTTATAGAATAAATTTATGTAATTAGAAATTAGATTTGGTTATTTCCGTTTAATATAAACATAGTTTAAATTTCTTATTAAAATTAAAATAAAACCTTTTTAATGTTCTTTAATTATTCAAGAACCGGTCATCCTTTGTTCATAAACAAATTTATTTTATCGTAGTTTTTACAATAATAAAGTTTGCTTTATAATAAACAATCGAAATAAGAACAATATAATATTTATCCAAAAAATAAAACCGTTGGGAATTTTTTCATTGAGATAAAAAAAAAAGGAGAAAACAAAGCCACTTAAACGCCCTCAACCAAATAACCATTCTATTAGGAAAAAAGGTGAAAGTAGGTGAAACATGTATCACCGTTATTTCGGAGTTCAAATATTTATTAAGCAATTGCTTTTCAAATATATAAACATTCTTTTCTTTCATATTTTGGAAAACTTAAACGAACTAGTTTCAAACTAGTTTTGCCAGAAACTTTCTAACCAAGTCTTCTAATTTACTAACCAAAATAATTTCATCATAAATTATACGGAAAATATATGTACGGTTTACTATCACGCAAGTCGCATCCAAGGTATGCGTGTTGCAGTTAATTTGAAAATTTTTTAGATATGTATAACAAATTTTATTTCAGATAAAAATGATTTGGTGAATTTATTAACAATGAACGAAGTGAATTCTTCTTCCAAAATCGACAGTATAAAAATATATATATATATATATATATTTGTTTACGTTACAAATAAATTACAATTAAAAAATTGTGACAAACAATAAACATTTAATCGACGAAAATTTTCTGCCAATCATTTATAAAATATTTTTCGATGAAATGGTATTTGGAGGAGGAGCATAATTCTGCAATAAATCGCATTTTTACTATTTGAAATATCGACGGGCATCATGATTTCTAGAAAAGCTAAGGATAGATAAAACAAAATTATAAGTTTACTATTACTGCGGATGATATGAGCAAGTTGAATCAGTGAGTTAACAAATAAATTTAAAAATTAAAACAAATAAGTTACTTACTGTAAACTTTTACTTTTTATTTCCATTACGAAAAAAGGTTCAATAAAAGATGAACCCGTTAAAAAATTCGTCTATCGTAGGGTTGCCCGTGAATTGTCGAGGAATGTTCGTAATATAGGGCAGAAATTGATTTCGTGGAGATACGATATTGTTAGCAGGAGGGACCCTCTGAATATTGACTAAGTTTGAATAATTCCGAATGCGTCTTTGATGTCTCGCTCTATTTGTTTGGTGTCTTGGCATTTTCGCTTATGATTCCTACTTTTATCGGAGGAAGAGAAGACGATAAACAGAAATTTTCTAAATATTGTATGAGTAATTTATTCAATATGCAAAAAGATAGAGGTATAATGAAAAGTTCCTTTTTTTGCGTGATTTTATTTCTTTAAGAGGAGGAACAAAAAAAAAAAAAAAAGAGGGCAAGAGAGCAATAAAAAGGAGTAAAGTATTTATTGAAATATTTTGATTTATACTAACTCCATTTGGTTTAGGTTCAGTGAATTTTCTTTCATTAAATTATGGACATTTATTTTCGAGCAAAAAATTTAACCCGCCACATACTTAACTTTATTTATTCCCACCCCATTATTGACGGCATATTTCATAAAGATCCTTATAGGTAATTTGGCTGTCCGTCTTTGCTGGATAAGCTTTTAGGAGTGTCGATAAACTACAATGCTATCGCGTCTTATTTTTAATTAATTAGCTAATTATATTTGGTCGTTGATCAAAGTTTACTGGATTTGATCAATTTTAATGATATTCTGGACTTATATAATAATATAAAAAAAAAATAGATTATAATATTTTATGCAATTCGAAATATTTTATTTTTTATTGTTTACTTTCAACTTAAATTTTAAGAATTTTTTTTTTTTACACTCGGGGTTTAAATGCTCCGAGCCAATCGATTCGAATTTAATGTCACAACACGCAGAGTCAGGTTGATCTGAATAAATTTGTTCCAGCTTTAAGAGTAAATTATTTTATTTATAAACTTAAAACTGTTGTACATGTACCAACCAGTATAATGCATACTATTTATGATGAATATTTAAAGTTTATAATTAATGATGCAACTTATTGACTAATACAGATTGCTTATCCGACTAAGTTTTGGCGTATTTCTTGAAAGCTGCATATCCGAACACAAACAATTCTTCATGATGATTATTAAGATAAAATTATATCTAATGGTATTTATCGATATCTAATCAGCTCCTTTAAAGCCATACTGGGAATAAAGAATTCATTTCCAAAAAAAATGAAAAAAATATTTTTTTTTTCAAATTTTCTTTAGTTTTGATTTTCAAACTTTAGGCATAACTCCGGAATTTTCTTTGCTAAATGATTCTAATAAGATCAAAAAAAATATTGTTGTTGTGTTGTGTAGTGTAGTACTGTTACGCCATTTCTTTATCGTTTATAGAGAACAAAGATTTTATTGATTGCAATATATTTAAAAATCGTTTTTTATAACCAAAAACAATACGGAACTAACGTTGTTATCGATCATTCCGATGAATTTACGTAATTGATGAGTGTATGGATACGGTACGAGTTTGCAAATCAGTACGTTTCGTACCGTATGGAGTACAGTCATGTACAAACAAACAAGTACAAATTGCAAGCGTAAATTTATTACTATAATTTGTAGAAGATAAACCTAAACTTAATAAATCTCAATCTAATCCTGACCCTAACCCCTGTTTAAGTCACGTGTAAAAAAAATTAAATTATGAAAATCAACATAATGGACAAACAATAAATGATAACAAGTTATACCTAATACAGCTGAATGACCATAACGGGATTTAATTTGTCCAACATTTCTTGTATATATATGTATGTATGATGACAAATGTATGGTAGATTTAACGGTTTTTCCTATACATGTATGTTTATCAAACACCGTATTGTTATATATAAATGATGTATGTAAGTATGAATAAAATACCGTATACCATACATTATTAAACATGCACCATACATTTGTCACCATACATACATATATCGGTCATCATATCATACTTGTTTACTATACGATCAATTTGTATGAAGATATTTTCTAAAACATCATCACAGCTTTTGCATATATTATGTGCTAATCATTTTACTAGAATTTGAAATTTTTAGGGGTATACGATTAGAAGAAAAGCTTTTTAAAACTCATGATAAATTTGGACGCCAGAAAAAAAATAAAAATAAAATAAAAGAAAAGAAATAGCCATGACACGAATAGATAAACTATAACTGAAAATTTTATTTAACTAAATTCTTTTTTATTAATTTAAGGTATCCGCAACAGTAAGAAAGAATCATTTATTGAAGTTTATTTATAATAATTATCTATTATAAATATTATCTATTTATTATTTAATATTAAAAGGTACATTAAACTATGATATATACAAACAAGAAGATTCAGAAAAAAGAGGAAAGCATCTACTAGTAAAATATTTCAAAAGTCAAAAAAAAAAAAATAATAATCATATCATTTTGCAATTAGAAATTGAAGAAAATAAAATGCATTAAGTTGAAGGACAAAAGCAAATCGTAAATCTCTGATGGAAACTGAAAAATTTAAGTTAGAAAATCTTAAGCTGGGAAAAAAAACTTTAAGTTGTATTAATTATTGATATTGTAACAACGTAAGCATTGTTCAAAGTAAATTTATTATTATTATATTATTTTTTATTTTTAAATGTATCACAAAATTTACAATTCCCAATATCAATAAATAATTAATTGAATTAAAATATATTAAAATATATATTTATTCAATACAGGCCTCTACTGAGTAGTGCTCCATAAGGGTCGGGTCGGGTCGGGTTTAAGGCATACTCGAACTCGAACCCGTTAATAATTACAGAACCCGAATTCGACTCGACTTGATCAATGTTTAACCCGGGTGCGACTCGAATTCTCAAGAGTAATATTAATGCCGAAAATAAAAAGTGTCATATAAAGTTTATTTTATTTTTAAAAATTTATTATTTGTTTTTGTGTACATTAATCCTAATTCTTTTTTTTCATCATTTTCCACTAGGATTTCAAGCACATACAGGCGCGAATTGTATTTGCTTTAAGACCAAATCTTTTGGTTGATATCAGATCGATTCCTCCAGAAAAAACTCGTTCTACTGGAACATTCGTTGCTTTATAAAAAAAATGTATTTGTTAACGTTTAATAATCGATAATTTTATTTTTTTTCCTGTATTTGTTCACCCCGCAATGCTTTTCGTTATCTAGAAGAAGTTGTACTATCGATAGCGTCGATAGGCTTACTTATTATTTATTTGTTACAAATTAAAGTCGCGTAAAAGTAAAAAAAAAAAAAGTCTGGCGCGTCAATTTATATCGATATTGTTTTAAACCAGATCGTCTGATCTATCCGGGTCATCTGGGATCGACCCGGGTCAAGCAAAAACATGACCCCGACCCGATGACTTTTTTGAATTAGGACTAGTGTCATAAAATCATAGTCCCGACTCGAGAAAAAATTCGAGTCGGGTCAAAAAACCCGGTTCGACTGATCGTTTCGTTGCATTACTACTGAGATCGTCATTTAATTTTTCGCATCATAAGAAATTAATTTACAACATTTCTTTTAACATTCCGGACAAAATGTCCGTAACTAATGTGTTTGGAAAATTACGGTATGTAATTAAGAAAGGTGTTTTATATTAATTCATAATATTATTGGATCCCAAAATTTCATACATGATTTCATAAAACCTTTCAAAATGTACGGATCTGCAAAACCATATATATTGGCCGAAATTCAATTTCCGGCCAGAATTAAGATTAATAGTCTAATTCCAGCCAAATTTATAATAGTGGCCCAAGTTAATTTTAACCGATTAATTAACCGGTTTATTAACCGGTTAAAGAATTTTTGGCCGGTTCTAACCTCTATCTTACGTACATACTCGTAATTTAGTAACCAGTGAAATTTTTAACAATAAATGTTAATTCCGATATTTGTTATTTAATTTCGGCATTGTATAGCAGATAATACGGTTTATATTTGGACTAATGATCAAAAAAAGAATCCCTAAAAGTCGAATATATTTGAATTAACCTGACTCGAGTATCATCTTGAGAACATACCTCGGGTGCATGTAGATTTAATAGGTAGGAACTTTAGAACTTCTCATTATGGATAAAAAATAATTAAAAAATATCGACTGAACATTTTAATTGGTGAGAAATTTGAGAATTTATATTAAAAAATGGAACGAAATATCTCTTCTTTTCAAAAGTCACGGGACGGACGAACATTTTAAACTCGGTATAGAATTTTTCGAAGAAAAATCATAATCGACTTTAAATATTTTTGGACAAAATATGAAAAACTATAATGTACAGTTGCTGCACGTCCAAGAGTTGTGCAGAACAAAATTTCATTATAATTTTAAATATTTACGATGCAATAATATCTTATGTTAATTATAAAAATTCCAAGATCATAGGCGGCATGATAAATTCAAAAATTTCCTTCAAACTTAGAATAAGCTACAATTCGAAATTTTCCACGGGAATTTATATCGAGAGCTGACTATATAATCAGATTTAATATTAATAATGTAATCCTCATTTGTATTATAAAATAAAATCTAAAATCAAAATCCATTCTTTTTATAAAAAAAAAAATGATCATCCTAGGAATTTTTAATTTGTAATCCCAATTGTTAATCAAATCTTGATTTTTTTGCTTCTAGAAATTTTCGAAGAGCAAATTAAAAATTCGTTTATAAATAAAGTTAAACTAATATTCTTTTCTAAAATACCGTTTAGAATCCTTTGTATCGTACATAATAATTTTGTCACTTATTGAAGCAACATTTGATATGAATAGTTGGAAGAAAATTTTTTTTAAAAAAAAAAGTAAAAGATAAAAAAATAAAGAATATATAATTTTAAACACAAAAAACAAAAATGCAATCGTGTTCTAGAGCGAGATATTTAAGAAACAAAAGTTGGCAAAGTAAACAACAAATGCAAATCGAGTACATCAATTCAATAGACACACGTCTATCAACAACCAAGATACTTTGAACAGAATTTCAAAAATTCTTTCGATAAAGCAGAAAATAATCAGTTGATAAATGAACTTTTCAACGAAATGATGTTTTTGAAGATATAAAATTCGATCATCAAGTTTATCTTATTTATCAAAGATTTGTCTCTTTATGCAATTATTTTTTTAAGAAAAACTGTTAATTCATGATATGTAGATTTATTTTACCGAATTAACTTATAGAAATAACAGAATAAAAATTATATTAAAGAAATAATTTGATGTATTAAAAAAAAAAAATGGTATTTCCATATTACCAAATAGTTTAAAATACATTTTTGGAAATAATCGGCAAATGATCGGCACATGCGCTATAATTATTTTTTTCGAAAAAATTAGTTTTCTAAAAGTTAAAGCCTAACAAACTTATTATTAGACATTAAAAATTATGTATGGAGGTGTATTTTTGCCAGCTCTGAAAGTTAGAGCGACAAAGTGAGTTTTGACTATAAAATTTGACTTGGACGTGTTTTTTTAAAGAATGCGCCACATACTCTAAGTAATATAATCGGCGTAACCTGTCACACATTTCGGACGTGCTATTTTTCATAAAAGATCATCTTTAAATTTCAAATATTGAATTGATTATAGAATTGTATCTTGTGAATCCTACTGAATCCTAATCATAAATAACAATACTTAAAATGACCTCGTGCCTTTTTGTTTTATTTAATTATTTAAGCGTAGGGAACTTCCATCGTCTGTCCGCACGCAATCATATGCTTGATATTGAGTAATGTAATGAAGTGTTATTTTGTTTATATCAGTTATTATATGTAACAATTTAATTAAATTAATTTTATAATAAATCAAAAAAAAAAAAAGATCGGCAAGTACAAATCAAAAAAAAAGACAAAAAATAGATGTCATTCTTTGTGCGGGATTTTTGCGACCTTAAATTTGTTTGTTTCAAACATGTTTTTATTTATTAATTATAGTTTATTTTTTATTTAGTTTAGCTTTTAGAAAACATGCATTACATAATCATACTGCGTCCTTTCATTTTTTGTCTAATTTAGTTAATGCAATTTTGGTCCAGATATTTTATCTGTTAAATCAAATGATGACATTTTAGCACGTTTTAACTGGATTATTAAAATTTCATGTGATTATCATTTCATAAATTTCTCATACATTAATCAAGGCAATACTAGAATTTCTTAATGCTTTCCACGCGTAAAATTAAAACTTTTTTAATACGTAAATTTCTTTTTAATAGATCTTAATATAGTAGGTTAATAAAATTCTTCCTTTTTATCTTGTGTTCATTTTTTTTTTACTTATACCGTTTAACTCCGATTTATTACGAAAAAAAAAAAAAACTAAATTAATTTGTTTCGTTGTAAATTCTTTAATTTTTCGTATAAATACGTCGAAATTTTTCATAAAAAATGCAAAAAAAAAAAAATAAAAATAAAAATAAAAATTATAAATTATAAATAAAGGAATTCATATATATTTTTACACACAAAATGCAAACGCGATCGAACCATAATAGACTATCTAATGTTCTTGCTCCTATAAATAACAACGGTAGATCGTTATTTCTAAGAAACAGATGTCGGCATAATAGAAGACAAAATACAAATAGAGTGGTAAATCATAGAAACTTTTATAATGCACCATTCAACAATCAAGATACTTTGAACAGAATTTCAAACATTCCGATTCAGAGGACAAACGTTCAGTCGATAAATGAATTTTTCAACGGAATATCATTTTGACTAAAGGATTACAAGAAATTTTGCAACTCGCTTAATTCAGAAAAATCATTAGTGACTTTAATTTAATTAAGATGATTTATATAGGTAAATACAATTGTATCTATTTTTAAAGAAAATTACTGATTTCACTAATGTATGAATTATTTTATTTCTCTTCTTATAACAATTTTTTTTTTTTAAGATAAGATAATCTGGTAATTTTAATTTATGATAAGATTAAATTTATATGTGATAAATTACGCTCCATTGTGTTGAAATGTCAGAAAACGTGGCGATGTTCATTTACTCTGGAAGTATATTTGTTACAATAAAGTTATGCAAATTTTTTCATATGATTACCCCCATATGTTTAGAAATAAGGTTTTATTATATTATGAGATCGGCAATTGCTATTATTAAGTTCAATGATTTTATATCTTGGAAAAAGTTCTTGTAATAACTTAACGACTTAACAATAATATCCAAAAAAAAAAAAAATATAGTTTAGATATTACTCCAGAGCTATGCAAATTTTCTAATTCTGTACATAATTTTGAATCATTATTTTGTCATCTCTTTCAAACATGTGGACGTTATTTTTTTTTCTTAGATTAGATTTAAAAATTTAAGAAAAAAAGAAAGCAAAATTCTAATACTTGAGCGCAGTGTCAAAAAAATTAGTTTCTTTTTTTTTTTTTTTTTCGTTCGATAATTCGTATGGTAACAATTCTAATAAATCGAAAATCGAATCGAAATCGATTTAAATCGATAATCGTATAAAAATCGAATCTATTTTTGGACGTAAAATGACACAGCACATGACGCATTACAATTATTAAAAAGGTCTAAACATATAGAATGGAAGTTGAATTAGATGTTTAGTTACGAATTATATGAAAGAATGAAATTTGTGACAAAAGATTCGTGTGTAAAAGTTAAATAAACTAATTATTATAAAGTTAAACCATAAAATTGTATAAAATTGTTTAGTATTATTAAAATAATTGATTTTCACTATTCAAGAAAACTAGCGGTTTTTCGCTATCGCGACGTGAAATAGTTGTTGAAAAATTAATTTTTAAAGTTTTAGCATGTATATAACAAAAAAAAATTTAACAAGTTATTGATAAATAATCCAACCCTATCTCTAACCCTAATCCTAATCTTACCCTAACTCATCATTGGTGATTTTACAAACATAATTGACTCTATCTTTAACTCTAATCCTAATTCTAACATTATTATATTATTATTAATTAATTTTTAATTTTTTAATCGCGGGTTTTAATTTTAAAATGTTTTAATTATTTTTTTCGAATGTATTCTTTTTTTAATTCTAAATTTTTTTTTAATTTTAATATTCACAAGTTTTTTTTTATCTTATATTTTTATAATCGCATGTTTTTTTAATTTTTTTAATAACAGCCGATTTTTTTTTTTAATTTTTTTTTTTATAAGTACAGATTTAACTACGCCACAAATTTTACTTGCATATAAAAATCGAATCTTAGAATCGAATCTTGAGAAACGATAATCGCGATTAAATCGTTTCTTAAATCGATTCTAAATCGATCGATTCAATTCCTATCGTATGTAAAAACACATAACATCATATAAATAGACCACAATATCACACAAAATGATATAAATAGCGCCACAAAATCGCACAAAATTAATCTTTTATTACCATAAAAAATCATCATCCCTGGTACAACCCTTTCCGAGAGTCGGATAGAATTAATTAATAATCAACCAAGTATTCAATTGATAATTAAGAATACATCGAGATTATTATTACATAATAATTATTTTCAAAATGTTCTATTAACAAACAATAAATCGTGTTCATCATAATCTATGTAACGAATTATTAAAAAAAAAAAAAAAATGAAAAAAATTTTTTCAATATAACAAAAAAAATGAAGAACACAAATCCTTGCAAAATGGAGATGTTGTATTTATTAAATGTAACGTCACTTCATTTTTCTATAGGATATAGGAGATCTATAACGTAATAAATTGTGAATCAACCGAGAAAAAATTATTTTTAAAAATTATTTTTTTTAATATCTAAAAAAAAATTTTTTTTTTTCACTTTTCACCTGTTATCAAAGTATTTTTCAGAGAAGAACGTATTTAAGAGAAAGAAAATCCATTATAAAATTGATCTAATGAAGGATCGTCTACAATTTGTAAAGGAAGGTTTTTAATTCGATCCAATAAGTCTTTATTACTAAAGAGTCTATTACGTCTTCGATATGCTCTGTTTGCGCGCCGTCTTCTTTGTTGAATCAGTCTTCTTCTTCTACTAAACATTTTCAACGAAAATAAGAGTGCTAAAAGAGAAAGGAAACATTTTACGGCGCGTATTTATCGGTCATAAATAAGTAACACAAATAAATGCTAGGAATGGGTAGTAAATTAAACAACAGGGCCTCCTATTCATTATGCGTAGCATAACAACGTAATGGCGACTACGTCTTATGCATTTTATTTACCATCACCTATAAGCAAGGAGCCAATCTATACTAAAAGAATTATTACTAGCCTAGCGATCCGTTTGTGTAATCATAAATTTTTATTAAAGTTCACAAAACGGGTTCTATTACTTGTTTGTACAAATATTTTTCTTAGCTACATCCATTTTATCGTATAATAATACCCAAGAATAAATAAAACAATTTTAAATTTAATATTTACTGTTTATAAAAAAAATAACGAACAAAAAAATCATTTATTATGTATTCCTTTTTTTAAAGTCTTTGAATTTATTGATTTATTGGTTTTTAGCGCTAAATAGAACAAATGTGATCCAATTTAGGCAAATTTATGTAAAGATCAGATTGAAATCTATTAAATTTGGTGGAGAAATTATGAAACGCAGTTTTTGCATGTGTATGTTAAGCAAACTAGAAATAAAGTAGCAATCAAAAAAAGGAAGTTCGACGCTTTGTTTTTTATGTAAATGAAACCATATTGCGACGGCTTCGTCTCTATCGAGTATAAAATATTTTATATTTCTCTTTTTACATGGCGCGAATGTTTTGTTGTACGGAAAAGGTATAGTAAAAAGATACATACATTTTTGTATTTGTATCATTTCACATGAACTCCTCCTATCCGTTGTCTGTAGAATTACTTAATTGGAGACATCAATAATTCAGCCTTCTTTTCAAATAAGGATTTTCAAAGCGTTTCTACAATTTCTTTTTTTTAAAACTTCCTCTTTTAAATGCATGACTTAAATTTTAGAATATTCGGAGATCAATTGTTTTATTACCTGTCTTTTTTTAAAAAACTTTGGAATCAGGAGGTTTCAATAAAAATACTTTGATCTTATAATGTATAATATCATAACCAACAGTCTGTTTTAAAATGTGATATTATTAATCGAAGAACAATTAAGAATTTGGAATGTTCTAAGTTTCAAAGTTTTCTTTCAACAATTCCATGCATTCATATAACTTTCCATTTTTTGAACTAGCGCGAAAATACAAACGATGTTGTGTTCGAATTGTTAAGTATTAGTATCATAAATATTTATGTAACGGAAGACCTACATGTACATATCTATAAATCCTAAAACGGTCTAACGAATATTTACTATTGTTTTATCTAGTGCTCCGAGCCGGTCGAGTCGACCCGGGTTGTTCGACCCGACTCGAATTTTTTCTCGAGTCGGGTTTATCATT